TTCGTAAAAAGATAAAAAATTAACTTAAACATCCATATTTTTTTTCTCAACTTTTTTAATTAAGACAAAAAGTACACTTATTTAGAAAATTCCAAACAACCCTGGCAAAACAAAAAAAAAGACAAATAAAGTAAAAGTTTGGCAATCATTCGTTAATGCTTCAGTTTTCTATTTTCTATTTTTTTAAGGAAAACTTGTTTGTTTTATTATTTTTGTTTCTAAAAAATTAGAATTGATCTTAAGATGTAAAAAAATGAAAATGAAAAAAAAAAAATATTGCCGACGACTTTCGACGAACTCCAGCCATCTTCATGTAATCCTTTGGCAATCGACTGGTCACCACCATAACCTCCAATGACCCTTCAACTATCAATACTTTGACCACCCCCGTCGCTAGTCACCACATCCGTCTACTCTCCACCTCTGTTAATTAACTCAGCAAATGTGTTTCTTTGTTTTTATTTTCATTTATTTTCAAAATATTTTTATACACAAAATAAATTTTTTTTTTACCCCAAAAAAAAAAAAAAACTGTTTCTTAATCTTTGTAAACAAAAAAATAGGACAGTGACAAACACCTAATGAGTCTAAAAAATTGAAAAGTTATTTGAAAGTGATATGTAGTGTAATTTTTTAAATTTTCTTTAATGTGAGCTACACTAAAAAATAACAATCTACATATCTTATTTTTTACCAAATTTTCAAATAATTTTTTTTTATAGACAAATACGTTTAGGACCAGTAAAATAAAATTTAAAAACTTTGTGAAAATATAATGGAATGATGGCATGCACTTAAAATAAAAAATATAAAAATATGTCCAACTTCAAACTCCTTAGCTTAGCATAGTAGGTGATACCATAAATCATTTATACTTCTTTTTTATTATTATTTATAATTAAGTTGTATTAAAAGGAATGAAAGAAAGTTAATATGGTAGAGATAAGAATAATAAGAAATGAAACCTATCTTTTAATTATATATATATACATATGTATATAACTAATGATATTTATGTTCATTTTCAAGTCTTAACACTCAAATTTATTTTTTATTATTTTAAAGTTTCTTAGAAGACTCACAATACAAATGCAAGAGACTAAAAAAACATTGGCGTATATGGTGTATGTCACGACGTTTGGATTGTGTCACTATTACTAATTTTAACGTACTAATTTTTTCATATTATACCTGTGCATAACTTTGAGAGAAAAAAAAAAAAAATATTCAACATCAATTATGATGCATAAGTTAGATTAAAAAAAGAAGAAGAAGATTATTTTTTAAAAAATAATAGATTGACTTTAGTTCGGATTTAAATTGGCCCCATTAATTTGAGTATTGAAATCGTTACCAATTAGTATTTTCATAACAAACAAAGGCTTAAATTTGTGTATTTACATATATGCTTAATATTAAATTTATTTAAATTATCAATAATGCTTTACTTATCATATTTTTATTTTTATATTATATTATGTTTATCTTTTTACTTGTCAAGATAATATTTATCTATAATAATCACTAATGTATACCTTCAATATAAATAATTATTCTGTTTTTCAAGAATTCTATGTTGGTGACCTAATACTTAATGTACTTAAAATTAAAACGTGGGCTTCTTGAATCATATGATAATTTGTACTTCAATTCAATATTAATAATTAACTAGATCATCAAATAATAAGATAAAATGATAAAAATAAATAATTATTGCAATATTATTATAAATTAATTGGAAAGATAGTCGCGGGACAAATATAAGCCTTTAATTATCACAAAATTTTAAACAATTTTAGTGCTTATACTAAATTCAAAGATACACTCGAAATTGGAGACAAACCATCTCATTAAGAAAGGCATCTAATCCTAGTACCGAGTAATTAAGAATAAAAAATTCCTAGTATCTCGGATCCAAACCCTCAGGTGTCATTAAAGGACAGTTGAATAATGGTCCAACGGTGGCTTCGTTTGGGAAGCCTTGGTTGGGGAGAATTTTTTTTTTTTTTCTATTTTAGTCAAAAAAAATAAAATAATTTTTTTAATTTAATAAGATAAAATATCACATTAAATTCATAATTATTATATTTTTTCTTTCACAAATAAGTCAAAAAAGTCAAAAAAAATCAAAAGTCCTTCACAAATCAAGCTTTTTAACCCTAGGCTAAAATAGTCAAAAAAATCAAAAAACTAAAAAGTCAATCCACTTCCCAAACGGGGCCAAAGTGTATTACCGATGATACCCCCATCGCACGTGGCTAACATTCAGCTTTTAAGGGGTAAATTACGAAAAATTATAAATTATTTCTAAAATGTTTGTATTTCTAACTAATCATAACTTATTGTGTCTCTCATATTTTTCAATCACCCAACATTGGGGGTGTTTGGTGTGAATTATAGGAGGTGATTATAATTTATTTTAATTTGAGAATTTGTGTCAGACTGTTTGGTGTAGTTTACACTTATAATTTTTAAACAGAAATAACTTAAATAAGCTGAAAAAAGTTGATTATTTAGAAACTAGGAAATGGGTGCTTTTGGTTTTTTGTTTTCTGATTATCAACTTTTAACTTACAATAAGTTATACCAAACAGCACCATAATACTCCACTTATCCACATTTTTCACTAATCACAATATTATAGAATACAACGTATTTATATTTTAGGATTACTGAATAATTTTGGTTTGACTATTTTTTCATTTGATTTTTGATTTTTTTTTTCACTTTAAATTTTCATATTTTAAATTTATTTTAATTTACTTTTAAAATTATTATTTTTAAAATCAAATAAAGAATATTAAATTAATTATCACATAATATAAAAAATAAATATCATATTAGCGTTTGAATTTATATTAGAGAGATGAGTTGGGTATAATAGAATATTTTTATATCGCGTAATTGTCAATATTTTAGACAAATAGATTGCGAAAATCATAAGCCTCCGTTTGGGAAGTGGGTTGACTTTTTGACTTTTTGACTTTTTTGGCTATTTTAGCCTGGGCTTAAAAGCTTGGTTTGAGAAGGGTTTTTTGACTTTTTGACTTTTTTGAGTTTTTTTGTGAGAAAAGAATGTAATGATTATGAATTGGATGTGATGTTTTGTTTGTTATGACTAAAATAGTCTATTTTATTTTTTGTGGCTAAAATAGTCAAAAAAGCCTGCAAACCCACTTGCCAAACACAGGCTAAACCAAAGTAAAAAAAAGTAAAATATAAGCACTAAAGTAAAAAAATTGTCAAGTGCTTGCGTTTGGGAAAGGGTTATTTTTTGCGGCAATGATTTAGATCACTAATTTTGGTGCTCTAATAGAACACTAATGACATGATAATGAATAAAAAAAATAAAATAAAACAAATCAAGACCAAAACATCACATCACTGTGAGTGGAGTCCCCTGTCAACTCATTAGAGCTACTTTTAGAACTCAAAAATTAGAGCTCCAAAGCATTTTTTTATTTTTTGATTGATTATTGTATTGACAAAATGTTTTAAAATGATATTTGAATATGGAATGACTAAATTGCCCCTATCATAATGCTGAGGTGACATGTTTTAGGGACAAAATTATCATTTAATCACCTGTGATGGCAGTCTTTGAACCACGTGATGCTTCCTTTATTCATTTTTTGCTTTTTTGCTTTTTTGCTTTTCTCTTGTTGGAGGCTATTTTATCCGATTTTTACAGCAAATCAGGGGCAAAACAGTAATTCAACAAATTTGATTTGAGCAAACTTTTCAGATATTGGACTATTTTGGGAACTTGGCTAAAAGTCACTTTTTTTGGTTAGTAGCAAAAGCCAAAAATTGGCTTTTTTGGCTTTTTTTTCATTTGGCAAATTGGTTTTTAGCCAACGGTACAATTACAATTTTACCCCTCATGGGTCACAATGTGTTACATAGGTTCAGTTGTAAATATTTTAAATAAATGGGGGTAGTTTAGTCATTTTATTATGATTTGACATCATAAACAAATATTAATCAAAAAAATCAAAAGTCACTTTTTACCAACTTTTCAAATCATTTGTCTAAAAAAGCCAAAAACTTGGTTAAAAGCCAAAAAATCACTTTTAACCAACCTCCCAAAACAACTCATTGACGCCTCCGTCGATTTGCAGGAACATAGCACCGTCCCAGAGAAGACAGGGCAGGGAGGGAGGGAGGGAGAGGGAGAGAGAGAGACAGATAGTGAAGAAGACGGGTGTGAGATAGAGACTGCGCTGTTAGAACCGACACTATTCTATTGGTATATCCCTCTCTGTGACTCCGTTTTTGTTTTGAAAATTACCGAGATCGTGGGAGGTTAAGATTTCGTCGATTTTTACTGCTTTATAGTCACTGTTAGCTTTCTTCTACTAACTTTCTGCTACTTTTTATCACCACCATCTTCACTTTATTCGTACCCTTTCTGTTGAGCTTCAAGTTCACACAACCCACTCAAAATTTTATCGAGAATGTGACAGAAAATTTGAAGTTTCAATGTCAAGCCGGTGTGTGAGCATTTCAGTTGTTAAAATGTGAAACGGCTTGGAATTTGTTTTATAATAAAATTTCCTAGTTGGGTAAAAAATTTCTGATACGTTCATTCAATTTTACCTTTTAAATCGTTTTCGAATAACAACTTTTAATGCGTAAAATCACAGTTACGTAATCAAAATGTTGATCTTTTTGCTTCAAAATATTTATTTATTTTTTAAATCTCAATGAAATTTAACGGTTACATTTGGTTTTTTCCCCCCCAATTGACAGGTCTGATTTTGAAGGGTTCAATCCAAAAATCCTATATGAATTCTGAGTTCGATACCATTTGGCAAAAACGACAGACAAGGTAAACTATTTCTTGATCTGACTTTCTTTTTTTTTTTTAATAATTTTTTAAAAGAAGAAGATAAAATGTATATATTCGTAAGATACATGCGTATGTATATGTTGGGACCACCATCTTTGAAAATTTCATAGAGTACCCTTCCTTAGTCTTCAAGCATAGTAGGTCCTCCCCATTAAAGAAAGCTATCTGTTCTGACCTTGAAATGGAGCTTTTAGGTTTGTTGATGAAGCTTGAGGCCAAAGATTAAGAAGCAAAGAGCTTTATCTCAACTAACCCATGATTAGCAATTTTAGATTATTCGTTGGTCGTTTAGTGAAACCATATGCTTTTTTGTTGCAGAAAATGCGGTTATGACAAGTACAGGATATTTTTTTAAGGCAGTCACAACAACCCTGTGTTAACATCTTAACTGTCTTGCACGGGAGGAAACCGGGATAGCAGTGAGCAGTACTGTTTATTTATGGGGTTTCAGGGGGGATTTAAATTATGGGTGTTTAATTTTTTGGATTAATGGAGATGGGTTTGTGAAGAAGAAAGAGGGTGTGAAATGGGGGCAATTGGTGGGGAAGAGTTGATGAAGTGGGAGAAGATGCAAGGAGCTGTGAGTGGTAATGAGGAGAAGATTCTTGTATTGGTAAGATTAAGGCCTTTGAGTGAGAAGGAGATTGCAAAGAATGAAGTCTCAGATTGGGAATGCATCAATGAGTCTACTGTTTTGTTCCGGAACAGCCTTCAAGAGCGGTCCATGTTTCCGACTGCCTATACATTTGGTAAGGAAATGCTAATTTATCTCTTTACCTTGTTCCCTTACAAGAATCAAACGATTCTTTGGGTTTGAAATGTTGAAATACAATGGGTGAGGCACACATCGCTCTTGGGTTTGATCTAGAACATGTTGCAGTTAGGTACCAAAAACAACATACACCATGTGATAGCTTGGATTTCACTGCAATTGCTATGTTTTGTTTTCCCATTCTTTATTCAATTTGTTTCTGCTTTTGCATTTCATTTCCCCTTAAGTTTGGATGTTTGGCCAAATGACGGCCAGGGATTCCATTCAGGCACCAAAGCTGAATGTTCAATCTTTATGCATGTTTGAGTAATTGTGAATTACAGTTCAGACTACAGAGTCTAGTTTCCATTTTTTTTTTCCTCCCTCAATGCATTAAAAATGCAAATGACGATCTGTCACAGGTTTGGAATTGAGTGCAATTTCTATAAAATATGATTCTGTCAGAGTTTCATAATTATACTAGATTTCTATTGGAGGATATTCCTCCTCCTTTTTTTTTTTTTTTTTGTCTTTTCCTGATTTTTCTTTCTATTATTGTTTTTTCATGTTGGATAGACAGAGTATTTAGTGGTGACTGCTCGACTAGGCAGGTTTACGATGAAGGAGCAAAGGAAATTGCTCTTTCAGTGGTCAGTGGTATTAATTGTAAGTATAATATACTGGGTGTCATAACCTCACACTGATTATTTGAACAGAATGCCAAACATTTCACCTTAATTTTTTTTTTCTCCATTCAGCAAGTGTTTTTGCATATGGGCAAACAAGCAGCGGAAAGACATACACAATGATTGGCATAACAGAGTACACAGTAGCGGACATTTATGACTATATACATAAGGTAAAATAAAATTCTAATTTGGCGTCAATTTTGTATTCCACTATGTTATTTTTTGCTTGGAACTTTTTAGGTGTGATATTCTTTTTCTTCCCCCCTGTTCTCCAGCATGAAGAAAGAGCATTTGTTTTGAAGTTTTCTGCAATGGAGATTTACAATGAAGCTGTAAGAGACCTTCTTAGCACAGATACTACCCCACTCAGGCTCCTAGATGATCCAGAGGTGAATTTCGTTATATTTTTCAGTTTCATCCACTAAACATATATTTACATTCAGGTCTCTAATGTGTTCTCACCTTTAGAAAGGGACTATTGTGGAGAAACTCACAGAGGAAACTCTGAGGGATTGGAGTCATCTCAAGGAACTTTTGTCGATTTGTGAAGGTAAAAGCCATTCTATGACAGTAATAGTACTAGTATGAAATATTATCATATATTTATGTATGAATTGCACTCTTGCAGCTCAAAGGAAGATAGGGGAGACTTCCTTGAATGAGACGAGCTCTAGATCTCATCAAATTCTTAAACTGGTGTGTGCCTCCTTCCACTCCCTTTTCTGATCAGTGCATTTTTCAACCAAGACATTTTTATTTTAGAAGTACCTTAGAATTTTACTTATCCCTTATGAATTTAATTCCTGCAGACAATTGAAAGCTCTGCTCGTGAATTTTTAGGCAAGGACAAGTCAACAAAACTCGCAGCTAGTGTGGTATATATCAATTGCCTTCCTTTTGGATAATTTTTTTTTTTTTTACAAATATTAATTTGCCAAATGGATATAATAAGATATTTTTATTCTTTAGAAATCAATTTAGAAAAAGTTATGGCAAGTGACCACTAATTGTAAATTATATGGGTTTTTGTCTGCAGAATTTTGTTGATCTGGCAGGAAGCGAGCGTGCATCTCAGGCATTATCGGTTGGGGCAAGACTGAAAGAAGGCTGCCACATCAACCGTAGTTTACTCACTCTGGGAACTGTTATTCGCAAGCTAAGGTTCACTAATCATTCCTTTCTTCGATATGTTTACTTTTTAGCTTCATTTGGCAGCTTCAAATATTTTAAATGTATCATAGCTACAAGTTGTTGGCTTAGCTGCCTGGTGTTTAGTTGTTTACTAGATAATATGCAGACAACTAAGTATAATTTCATCTGCTTATTATTGGTGAATTGAGACCTGTGTGTATGAGCACGTACACTTGCATGTGCAAGGGCATGAGCGGGCATGTTTCCTTTCTTTGCTTTCTTTTCTTCTTTTATTCCGTATCTTTTTTTTTTCCCCCTATCTCTAGGTAACTGAAATTTTTTATAAAGCATGTAATTCTACAATTTGTAGTACTGTAGTTCATCCATTTACTGCTGTTGTTGGATGCAGCAAGGGAAGACAAGGACATGTCAATTACAGAGATTCTAAGCTAACGCGCATACTGCAACCCAGCTTGGGAGGCAATGCTAGAACCGGCATCATTTGTACTTTGAGTCCTGCACGAAGTCATGTTGAGCAATCCAGAAATACTCTCTTGTTTGCTAGTTGTGCAAAAGAGGTGTCTACGAATGCAAAGGTTAATGTTGTCATGTCTGATAAGGCCTTGGTGAAGCATTTGCAACAAGAGTTGGCTCGATTGGAGAGTGAATTAAGAACTCCTGCCCCTTCTTCCACTTGTGATTATTCGGCATTGCTGAGAAAGAAAGATCTTCAGATTGAAAAGGTTATGATTCAGTTTCCAAACTCATTTTTCAATACATTTACATATCTTTTAACAAGTTTATTTGCACCAAGTCAGGGGTAATGCACTTGGTTGCCTTAGAGGATACCGATTGCTGGATAGAAATGAGGTATAAAATTGGTAAATGACTCATATGAACTTCAGAAATGGTGAGTATTAGACACATGACCCAACCCCCACCTGGAAATAGTCTGTTATGGCCCAGCTCAATAGCTAGCCTCAGATTTGTTTATATGGGCTCCAAGCCCCGAAGGCGCCTCCAAGATAGAAGTTTCTTGTGCTGTCTAATACGTCCATACTGGACATTGTTCTTATCCAATGTGGGATGTCAACATCCCAACCCCGGCACAGGTGCCATGTTAGACGGGCGCCCCAGATCCTACCTAGAAGTGTTGTCTGCTATGGCCAGTGAACCAGTATTTTTTGGGATGCTCAAGCTGTACCAACTAGGTGATAAGAATTATGGAGAATTAAAAGATATTAAAGAATAGAATGATGAAAGATGAATTCAATACCTGAGAGCTTGATCGAATTGTTGAAGGCCATCTGGCTTGCTGCGTTATGCTAGGCTCCCATTAAATCCTTCCAACAATAGCTGAGGACTTCCACAACTTGTGGGATGCTGGGAGTGAACATTTCTTTGCTTAGGCTTATCTTTTCGTTCATCCTCTATAAATGTGTTAAATCAAGAGAAAATTTTATTGTGATGGTAGGACACACCCATAATATTTGTAATTGACATCCTTCATGTGCTCAAACAAGGATTTGGCCAATAAAGGTCCATCCATATACAATGGCTTCTGATTTGCTTACATTATACCCCTGTTTTTTCATACCATGCAGTTAGAGAAAGAGGTGAGAGAGCTAACTAAGCAACGGGATCTTGCTGAATCTCGGGTTGAGGATTTGTTGCGCACGGTCGGAAATGATCAAGTTTCAAGGCAATGGGTATATGCTGTTTCTCACAGTTGAAGTTCACAATGCCTGATTGTGGCCGCTCCAATTGCTAACTCTTGTTTTCTTCCTTTCATCCAGGACGGGATCAATAATCATCCTAAATGGCAAGAAGGGGACAAGTGGGAAGATGAATGTTCAGTGTCATCAGCGATGGCTGATACACATCGTCTGGATATCGGAGGCAGAAAAATCGACAATACTGAATATTCTAACGGAGACTACAGCAGTAATACTGAAGAGCATTATTCCCCACAGCTTCCAGGGAATGATGAAGACCATTATCTGTCTGATGGTACTTCTTCACCGCTGTCAGTTAGAGGTAAGTTCGTAAGATCTGAAGATCCAGATGACATCTGCAAGGAAGTTCGATGCATTGAAATGGATGACTCCAGCAAGGACAAGATCTCTGAATCCTGCGCCTTATCAACTGGTGAGAATGAAGGAATGTTGGCATCGAGGATTTCCAGATATGGCAACAATGTAGCAGAACGGGGAATGGAAACCCCACCAAGGGAAGTAGGTGGCATCCAAAATAATTCGACTTATGGGGGGGCATCAGAGCGGAAAATCTGGGATGTAGGTGAGTCCATTGATTCTCTTGTCAGCCCTTACCCTGATGGCATGTCAAGTTTCAGAAGTCAGAAGTTGACAAGGAGCTGGAGTTGTAGGGCTAATCTCATGGTTGGCTCGTCTTCACCAAACTTTGAGAACACACCTCCTAATGGTTTTGAGAAAAGCTTTACTGGAAGACCAGAAGGCTTCCAAAGGATGGTTCCTCAATTAAATTACGGTCCCAACATTGTGTTCTCCAGAAATGCTTCTCAGTCTTCTGTTGGGAGTGCTTTTATAGATGAACTTAAATCTCAGAACGGCAAGGCTTCTGCAGATGAGGATATTCCTAGCATTGATACTTTTGTTGCAGGACTGAAAGAAATGGCCAAGCTCGAGTATGAAAAGCAACTTGCAGATTCTCAGGTAAGAATGTGACTGTCATCTTTTGCTGCTGTGTCCTTGCATCTAATCACATCATTTTTGTGGCCAGTATAGCTTTTGAGAATTCAGTTTCAAACATCAGAGTGGTCATTTGGCCACCATATTTACATGCATGTGTAAATTGTAATTCAGTAAATTTGAAATGGTAAGCCTTTTTTGTGAAGCGTTCTAAATTTGATTGGTTTTATTATGTTCATGCCAGGCTCAGGAGACAGAACTAAAGGCTGAAAAGTCTGGAAAGAATGTCAAAGATGTTGGATTAGATCCGATGCAGGACACGTTGGAAACACCTACAAATTGGCCTCTTGTGTTTGAGAAGCATCAGAAAGCAATACTTGAACTTTGGCAAACTTGCAATATTTCGTTGGTCCACCGAACATACTTCTTCCTGCTCTTTAAAGGTGACCCAACAGATTCTATATACTTGGAGGTGGAGCTCAGGAGACTTTCCTTCCTCAAGGAAGCGTTTTCTCGGGGTAATCATGCTATGGAAGATGGTCGGACTCTCACAGTAGCATCAAGGTCCGCCCTCTCTCTGTCAGTGATATGCGTTCATGTTACTCTGTTATTTTAATTTCAAGCATACATTTAAGAATGCCTGGTGAAATTCAAAACACCATAATGTTGAATCAAGGTGCACTATGAAAGTATTTAAGAGTGGCCACTCAATTTCCCCAGAAATTATCAAGTGCTGGTCCGTGTGGCTGTCTAATTGCAAGTAGGGCTGTAAATGAGCCGAGCCAGGCTGAGTTGCAAGTTGTTCAAGCTTGGCTTGATAACTTAACAAGAGTTAACCTTGAACAATGCTCGAGTAACTTGGTTTTTTATAGTGTGGGTATATGTTTTTGGTGTACATAGCAAATTTCCACATTTCATGTCTTGCATTTACCTGGTATTTTGCCATTTTACCAAAAGATGATTGTTTTTTTCTGGATTGACAGCTTGAAGGCCCTTTGCCGGGAGAGAGAGATGTTAAGCAGGCTGATGCAGAAGAGGTTCTCGGAAATGGAGAGAAATAGACTCTACCAGAAGTGGGGTATCAATTTGCAGTCAAAACGAAGGAGGCTGCAACTGGCCAACCGGTTGTGGAGTGACAAAAATGATACGAACCATATTGTGGAGAGCGCTGCGATTGTTGGAAAGCTGATCAGATTCTCCGAGCAGGGAGGGGCAATCAAGGAGATGTTTGGCCTTAGCTTCACACCTCAACGTCCACACAAAAGCCGAAGAGCCTTAGGTTGGACACGCAGCATGGTTTCCCTTTTGTAAGCTTTGTTTTTTATGACCAGTTTTACAAATAAGTTTAGAAGTGGTTTGTTGATTTTTATCAACCACATGATATTCGTTTGTGATTGAAATAGAAAAAAGATTGTCCATGATTGTGAAAGATTTCTAAACATTTTGCTAATCTACACAGGTTAGAAATGAGCCTGTTCTCTGTAAATTTGTTCTTTTTATCGTTTCCATGTATCTTCAATCATATACTGAGAAGGATGGACTTGCTATAGACCTTCATACGTTTGCGTGGTTGCAACAACTAATTGAAGCACATCAATAGGCTCTGCAATCTTTTCTTGTGCTTTTGAAATCTGATTCCTGTCTCTCTTTTTTTTTGATGAAATTGCGTGAATATGATTATCGGATTGATTTGATTATTTTCATGAATGATTGAGAGGCAGATCGGGTTCGGTTGACTAATCAAATAGGGACATAATCAAATTAAAATAAGAGACACTAACACACTAGCAAGGTGATCAAAGCACTAAAACATCAGAAAAACAATAATAATAATAAACAATATAAAATAAGAAATTGTTTAACAAAAGAATGGGAAATGCTATATCATTTGCACCTATTTGGGCCTAACGAGTAATTTAAAGTTGGTTTCATTTTAATTTCATCATAGGTTAAGCTTATTTTGATTGATCATTAATTCAAGCCAATTTGTAATAAATATTTTTTGGAGACATAACTAAATTATTTTAATTTAGGGTAAATTGCAAATACACCCCTTGAGGTTTGCATAAAATACTAATTGCCCCTTGTGGCTTGGAAAATTACAAATACATCCCTGTCAGAATTTTTTATTTAATAAAATTAATTGAAAAAGTGAAATTTTTAACTGTTCACCTATGCAATAATAAAATTATCTGAATTATTAATTGAAATAAAATTTTAACATTATTAAAAACTATTAATTAATTTGATGATTTATTAATAATATTTTTTGGAGACATAACTAAATTATTTTAATTTAGGGTAAATTGCAAATACACCCCTTGAGGTTTGCATAAAATACTAATTGCCCCCTGTGGCTTGGAAAATTACAAATACATCCCTGTCAGAATTTTTTATTTAATAAAATTAATTGAAAAAGTGAAATTTTTAATTGTTCACCTATACAATAATAAAATTATCTGAATTATTAATTGAAATAAAAATTTAACATTATTAAAAACTATTAATTAATTTGATGATTTATTAATAAAAGGACCTATTTGTTATAAAATTAGAAATCTTAGGGACATAATGTAATTTCTAGAATTACAAAGAATAATTTATAATGTAAGTAAACTTCAGGGAGTATGTTTATAATTTACACTTTAATTTATAATTGTACATATAATACATTCATATTCTAAAATGTGTACCATAATATCAATCTATACATGTCAAAATTTGGATAATAAAAATTAAATTGAAGTGAGGGGGAGATAAAAGTGAAATGAGAAGTTCAAAATTATATTTCAAACAATTTTAAGATATTATTTTTAGAAATTATTTACAGTGAGCAGCACATGTCCAGATTACTGTAATTTGCATATTGTCTAGATGTTTCTAGACATTTTAGGAGAGAGAGTTAGAGAGAGAACCACAACACAAACAAAGCTGCCATTTTTGAATTCCTTCGTTTAGCACAGTACAGAGAGAGAGAGAGAGAGAGAGAGAGAGAATACATTGCAAGCTCATCTTGATTGAACAAATCGATGTGACTGGAATATATCCAAGCACAATTCATATTTTGTATTATTTCACAACAGTTTTTGCCCGCTACTCTTTTGTTGTTGTCGTTTCAGAATTCATATCACATACTGAAATTTTCCCAGATTCTGATTTTGCCTTCCAATGAAGTTGGTGATTTTTTTTTTTTTTTTTGGATTGAAAAGTACATATATTTTGTATAGTAAAAATCTCATAAAATGTGCAATTATGTTGGTGAGAAGACTTCGGCGGTGTTTGTTTAGACGGATGGATAAGGGCGGACTATAATACAATACAATAGATTGTTAGTTCTAAATATATAGTCCATAGACTATTTAGCTAAAAATGATATGTATTTGACCATTAATCCGACCTTCACTAAACTAATTATACGATGGATTAGTAAATTTATTAGAGTTCAATTCCACACCTCAATCCTATGAAACAAACGACCCATGTGTTTGAATCATGAATTTGGAAAGGAAATTTTACTCGCCTTTTCTCTTTTCTTTTTCAAATTTTTATCCAAATCTATGATCCAAACCCAACTTTAGAGATTGAGTGAATGGATTATTCAGTTGCACAACCACTCCAAGATTTAAAATGAGCAATTCTGGTAAGAGATGACCATATGTTCTTGGAAAATGCAGGGGGTATTCCATTTCAAACCCATTTAGGCTGTGTTTGTATTTTGGATTTGAAAAGAGATTTGTTGATGGAAAAGAAAAGGGAAGGAAGAAAATATAAACTAACAAAATTTTCTCACTTTTCCATTCTGTTTTTCTTTGCCTCCACAAAATCCCTCTTCAAATCTTAGATCCAAATACAACCTTAATGTAATTGAAATGATTGTATGGCGAAAATATGGTATGAATGGTGTGGTTTTGCTAGTCTACACCGTGTGAAGCAATGGTTGTAAGTATAAATATTCTGGAATAATGACCTAGGAGGACTTTCAGCATTTGGACAATTTACAGCTATGCTTTTACGCTGACATGGAAAATTAATGACAGTGATTATGACAGTATTAGTTGTGCCATTAATAATGATAGTAATATAGTTGTGTAGCGTGATAATGATGACTGGTTGCTTTGCATTACATGGTATAACTGAAACCAAGTATTCCACTACATTTTGTGATAATGCTGCTTTATGTTGCATACTTGCATCACTTTGATTGCTATGGTGGATTGCCAGGAAGATATTGAGACAACTGATAGATTGATAGCCGATGGTGAAGCAACTAATAATAACTGGCGGCACCCTGATCCTTACATTGGTAAGTACCATCTTCTTTTATTTTTCTATGGTAAGTAAGAATTTATAATAAAAGAATAAACATATTACATGTTGCAAGGGGCGTACTCAGGACACACAAAGGGCACCTTTAACACCTAAAGCTCTATCGGTCTATTCATGCATCACATAGCTTGTGTTATGAGGATTTAAGAAGTATTGTCAAAGTGTCTGATATTATAAATTTGCATTTTTAATTAAGACACATTGAAGAAGTGTAAGGCATGCTTTTTAGGAGTGTCCGACTTGTGTCTGACATGTTACGCCTCCTCCATAGAAGTGTTCATGCTTGTTATGGGTATATTTTATTAGGCTTTTGCTAATTTATATGATTCGATGAAAAGGAGTGTTATGGGAATTGCCTCATTTTGGATGATAAAATGAATGAAATACAGAATTTAACAGCTCGACATGCATTGTAGCCAATGACATGGCTCCTCATCTGGAAGTGGCTTGCATGGAGATCAATACCTTAGACTAGACCAATAGTGAAAATTCAGAAGTAACGGTTTAAGGTTTCTTCTACTGTAATTGGCCATCTTATGAAGATCAGAAGAGTTGATTTGAAGTTTTTTTATTTTCCCCCATCTTAGTTTTCAGATTTTGATGTATCGCCTCCTAGCTCTGTTCTCTTACTTTGTCAAGGATTGTTTATTTTCCACTCTATTTTCAGTTTCTTTTATCTCTTATTTAAACTGAAGTGATGATGTGAATTAAAAAAATTGCTTAAAATTCTTGCCTCTGGTTGCTTATTATTGTGGCTGACCTTATTTTATGCAAGTTCGACTTCACTTATGCAGTTTCAAAGCTCACCTCCTTTTCTTTGAACAGTTCCATGGGCTCCGGGTGGCAGCAAGTTTACCCGAAACCCACCGCCACCTCCTGGGGTAAGTTATATGGTTTTTTTTTTTTTTTTTTTGAATTTTGTTTGATTTGTCCAATATGTAGTTAAGCAATACTTGATTTATTAGATATTGTGCTTATTTGCTTTATAACTTTCGTGGATGTGACTCATAAGATTCTGGGTATGAAAATATGTACGCATTTCTTTCTTCTTACTTGAGGGGCTCAAGTTCTGAATGTTTGTACACATTAGATTTTGACTTCCTTGAGGTTGGAGCTTGAGATGCTCTCTCCCCCGTCCTCTATCTCCTTTTCAGTTGGAAAAATGCTTAGAACTGAGGCAATCGCATCTTGTTGCATTATTGTGATGTTTATTATATTTTTATCATGTCTGTTCCATTCATATAGAAGCAGTTGCACAATTACATTTTTAGTCCTGCAGGGATTTATTCAAACAGTTCAAAATTTCTCTCCTGAACTTTGAGATACACTGACTGTTTCAGTTAAGAGGGATCTAGGAATTGAATGGTTATATTTTCTGATACTGATGGTTTCTAATCTTTTGGTCCACATAACCTCCTGGGTGAGTTGGCAGTTGGGTATTGCTTTTTTTTCATCACATGTACTCTATATTTGCTGCTATGGGTTGGATTGCTGGGTATTTGCTGCTGAGTGAATGAGATTGTAGCAGCAGATATTGTCACAGCAATCACAATCCTTAGGACACCTTTTCTAGTCCTCAGTTTGGTCACAGCATTGTTTATGGTCTTCTGTGAGCACAGCATATATTGTGAACAATTTATGTGTCAATTTGTGGATGAGTCCATTCCAATCCTTTACAGTAGTTGGCTCTTTCCATTTTATATCAATTGCCAAGTGTATGCATGTGCACATGTTACAAGGGCAGCTAATGCGGCTAACCAAATTGTTTTAGAGAGACTTCATTTTGTATTTTCTTGTCATGGTCTTGCCATGTTATGTTTGCCCACAATTCTTGTGAAATATAATTCCATAATACATGTCTGTTTCACTAGAGTCAATCACTGCCATAAGCCATGCTTGAAAATCACAGGCTTTACAATCTGCTCATATGCCATTTGGTTCATTTCTTTCCTTTTGGTTTCTGATGCAGATTGAGATAGTATATGACTATGGCTGTGAAGATAATGACTGAAACTGTTTTCCTCTTCGTCCATGACAATAAATAATGGTAAGTATCAATTACCCATTTGGCATTACTGTTTTTTGCTGCATTTCAATGGTTGGAGACAGCCTGCAACCATGGGGTGTTTACTCAATAGAGAAGGGGAGAGTAGAGATTGACGAGTTAAATGTACTATTTAGGATCGGTTTCTACTTGATATTATTATCTTCAACATTTTGATACTTTTTGCTACAACCAACCAAATTGGGCAAGTGCTACCCACTTGTTCCCCCAATTTTAAATATCCCTAGTCTAATAGAAAAAAGAAGAGAAAAAAAAGAAAAGAAAAGAAGAAATGTTCTTTTCTACTCTTATGAAACCCATGGACTAAGGATCCTGTCTCCAATACATTCCTAAACAGAAGACGTGGTAGAGATTTTGAAACACAAGAAACATAAGAATCTCGAGGCGTGATCTTGTGGCTGAAAATGCATTGGGAGTTGGAACAGGATCCCATATAAGCTAGGGTAAACGTTGAAGCCTCTGTGTGTGTGTGTGTGTGTGTGTGTGTTAATTAATGTTGATTCTCATATCATGAAATTTTACTGTTGATGCAGATCAAGGTAAATGACAATGGGAGAGCGTGCTGTTTCATCTTGATTGTGTCATTCAAGTGGAAACAGATTGTTAGCTTTAAAATTTTGAGATGCTCTGTTGTAGTGCTGTATTTGGTTATCTTTTGATAATCTGAATGAAGTTTGCATGACATAAAACAGAACTGATCTGAATTAAAGGTGCTACCATTCTGTTTGATTTATTTGTTTTTGTTGATCACTAACCTCTGGTCCCAGCCACAAGCTCGGTTAGAAGAGTCGCCCAAAACAAATGTATCTGTGGATTAAATTTGGACGACAACAGGGACTAATAATCTTTCAAGGCTCAATAAAGTAAATGATAATTACCATAATTGATTTGAAAAGGATCAGCATTAATGTTTTGATAATAAAACACACATAGTCTATTCATGGACATAATTTTTATCTACAAAATTCATGCAATAGTATTTTTGAAATTATAAGCAATGTGGTCTGAAGCAAACATATGAATTATGGTAAAGTTACCTGGGTTTGTGTCATCGCATATGTGAGAATCTGGAGTAAAGTTACCTGGGTTTGTGTCAATTTGGTAATCTCCATGCCTAATTTTTTTAAATTAATTTTTTGAATAAATTACACTTTGCCTTTTTTATGTTTGATCATCTTTCTATTTTGGCTGTTAAAGTTTTTTTCACCTCCACTTTGCCCTTTTATGTGACAAAATACGTCACAATTTATGTTTATATCAAATGTGTTAATTATATATAATAAAATATCTTCATATCATGTGATTGTTAATGTATCATTTTCTATTTAATTTTTAAAATAAATTTACTTTTAAAGTAAATCAAAAAGTACTTAAAACGTGAAAAGCCAAGAATACTTGAAACGTGAAAAGCCAAAGGAGCAAAGTTAAAAAAATAGCCCAATATAAATGTGAAAATTTAATTTACCCCTTCCTTTTTCTTTTTTTTTTTTTTTTTCTTCTTTTATAATCCTTTTTTTTTTTTTTTGCTTCTTTTATAATCCTTTAAAAGAAATTTTGTTTGACAACTATTTTTTTATTTTTAAAATTTTTAAAAAGTTTTATGTATGTAGTAAAATTTTTAAAATAAATTTCTATAGCTAAAAGTAGACCGACTTTTATTTTTGGCTTATTGAGCCAAACGGGTCAGCCTCTGGTGTAAAAGCTACTTGGATTTGTGTCAATTTGATAACATCCTTGACCCAAATTTAACACACATTGTTTTCTTCATCACATCGGTATATCAGTTGCAAGAAATTGAGATCGATCATGACATTTCCAAATTCAAAAATATTCCATCTGATCAAACCGTAACCACAAGCCAAAAACCAGGAGGATATATAAAGACCTGTGTCGAGGCTAACATGGATGCATGCATCTCCTCTCTCCATTTCAACGTGTTCCATTACAATCTCTCTCTGTTAGTATAAATTTTCTTCCGAAGATCCAGACAAGATGAATGATGATGAATCAGCAAACATGCAGACAGAAATCCATAAAGATATTGCGAGTATTGTTGTATCTATAGTCCCATTGTTCATGCTCCTATGGACCATCTATACTGGCTCCAAGTTTGCTACCAAACCTAATACACATGGAAGATATAACTGCTACACTTTCTCAATTGGAGTTTTCACTGTTGTGCTAGGCTTGACATATATTATCATGGGGCTTGCAATTGTAGCTGATTTGGCACTAAATTTGACAGGTCGGCTGCAGCGAGAGGAGAAAAAAATCGACATCCAGCAAGGTAACAATTCATATGCTAACTGCCTGTCTGCCTCTTCTCTTTCCTTCTTGATGAACCAAATGAAAATATGAAGGCATTTTATATACAAAACAAGTTAGTAAATGATAAAATATTATTCTGACTTGTTCAACTTGTCTTGCACTCCCCAAAATTGTAGAGTCAGAAGTTATACATAGGAGTTCCAATCCGATTTTAGAAACACTGTTTCAGATACATAATCATTCCCAGTCTAAATATATATATTAGTCAAAGCTAGAGTGTGATCTTTCTTTCGGTGTACCAGATCTCTCCCACACTGGTTCACAACTGTGAAATTTAGAAAACTCACATAGAAGACTTTGCTAGCAACAAAGAGGACAACTTTTATACAAATTTGGATTGAGCAATTCGCCAATTATAACTGAGAGATACCATCTTCCCTTTTTGACTAATTTCATTCTATATCCATAAATTAGGTTTTGTTGCTTCTTACCTGGTTACACAGTGCTTGATCTCAAAAAGCTTCTCTATTTTTGTTTTCTTTCTTCCATTTTTTTCAATAAGCTGACAACAGTCTTACATGTGTGATGGTGAACTCATGAAGAACATGGAGTCCCAACTATGAGTAGCATCAAATTTCTTTCATTCTTTGGTACTGTATCTGAGGTTTTTGCTCCTAAAAGCCTAACTGTGTCAATCAACTTCTTTGGGCATAGTGATTCTACCACATGGAAATAACCTCTATATCGCAATATGGGTATTTACCTATATAGCTTATGCAGTATGTGTAATTCCTTTACCCATTTTGAACTTTTCCAAACAAATATACAATTTCTAAAAAGAACTCAACTACCAGTTTGTATGGTTGAATGCAAACTCACTAAATACCAAAATGACAACATCATATACAAAATGAAACCAAAAACTAAAACTTGACCCTTCCAAAACTTATTCTATTCTAATTGCTCCCAAAAATCAATATGACACCACACATGGATTAAAAAACTTAAAACTAGAGAGTAATGCTAGATCAATGCAAACTTTAAGCATATGTCTTCACCTTCTGCGCAACAATTTTGTTGGGGCTTGGATACTTTAGGTTGAGAAACAATACTAAACCAACCAAACCAAACCCAAATAAATATAAAAGCACAAGAAGAAACGGCCCTGTGAACATTTTGAATGTTTCGTATCAGTAACATTGGTTCTAACTTTTCTTTTTAGTTGCTATGTTCTTAATCTGCATTTAAAAATATATATTATGTTTTTTTTTTTTTTTTTTAAATTTATAATGTTTTTAATTGTATTCTTTTCCATAAGATCTGACTAAGATGATTGATGGAGCAGCAAAGGATAGAAAGACAATCTGCAAAGATATTGCCCTCTTCATTGTGACTGTGGTCTCAATATTGCTGCTCGTGTGGACAATTTGCACTGGATTTAGGCTTGCAACAGAACCAAGAATAGATGGAAAATATAACCACTTAGCTTTCTTGATTGGGGTTGTCACGATTGCCTTTGGTTCAATATATTTCATCATTGGGCTAGCAATAGTTGCAGACTTGGCACAAAATTTGTCACACAAGTTAAAGCAAATGGACAAGAAGAAGGAAGCAGTTATTTATAGTTGTACCCACGCAGATGATAACTATACTGTTTGAGATTACTCTTACAGAATATACTTTGTTTTTTATATATGTTATAATGATGTTAGAAAAAATTATAATTTTACTTTTTTTCTTTTAATTAAAATTATACTTTTAAGAAACTATATTCGAAGCACTATATTATGATTTTATGCTGAGAAATATCCAATTTTTTTATTCTAAATAATTAAGAGGGCAACAGAAATCCTCTCCCAAGAAAAGTCTGATGGTATAGTTATTTGTCTGCATTATGTTTTGAAGAGGTAAACTAAGAGTTAAGGTCACTCTGATTTGAAACCATGCAAAGACTCTTCAAAAAATCAAACATTGGATAAAAACATTCAGGAGAGATTGGATATGGTTAAAAAAGAAGAGGATATTGCACCAATCAAGGACCGATAGACGGTTGCCTGAGATTCATTGGTTACAAGCAACTGATACCATGAAACACAATAATCAAAATGGTTTTATTCATTTGATGGTGCCACAAGGAAAAGAGTAATGAAAAAGAAATTGACGTGGAAAAATGAGGGGCCATTTACTCATGATATTTCATAATTTATGACTGTATTCAGAGTATCTTTAGATGAATGGAACAAAAGTTCTCGTAGCTGATTTGGCTCAAAAGTACAACAATTTCCAATAGTTAGAGCATCTCCAATCCTTCATCTTTGCTGTAATCAAATTTAATACTCAAAAATCATATCCAATCCTTTCATCAAATGTTCATCAAATTGGGAACTCGTCCAATCCTTCATCAAATTTGAATGTTATGTAAATTTAAAAAGATGAAGCATTGGGATGATTTTTTCCCCATCAAATTTTGATGAAAAGAGAAATTTGGGATAAGAGTTGAATTTTTTAAAAGATTTTGATGAAATTGATGAAAGGATTGTAGTTAATATCAAATCAAATCAAATTAGATGAAATTTTTGGTGAAGGGTTGGAGATTGCCTTACTTCACAAATTAGCCCAAACCAGTAAGGATGAACTAAATAATCAAAAACTTCTACACAAAAATTTCCAATTAAGCTTTTTTGTTTCTTAACCAGAGTAAAATTTCTTCATAATCACTACTTCCACTCTGTTGTTTGGATCATGAGGGGAGGTGAGGAAAAAAAAAAAATGATTATGGTTTCTCATCCCACCTATCCAAACATGTTTGGAATGTTTGGATAGAGTAAGACAAAGGTAAAGAAAGTGTTATGGTTTCTCACCATTGGATGAATAAAATCCAATCATGTTTGGATAAAGTAACTAAGACAAAAGAAAAGAAGGTATTTTATTTTATTTTACAAAAATAAGCTTTCATATTAATAAATTATGTTTTTTTTATAAGGGTAATTTTAATATTTTAAACAAGTTTCATTAAACCTAATTCTTTTCTCAACAAATCTCACCAAAGTGGTGAGAAACAAAACACAGATTTAGGTGGTCTCAACAGCATCCAAATGAAGGGTTTCCAATTCTCATAATTTCTTTTCTTTTCTCATCAAATCCCTCCATCCAAACAGAGTGTTACTGAACTTGAACAAAGCTTAATGCAGATGCCTATTTCTGGCCCTACCCACAAAAAATTCCAGAGAGGTAAAATCAAGTAAAAATTTTGAAGTAGAAACAGAGTGTTCAATAAAGATTCATAGAAATGTACTTGTTCTGATCATCAACCATAAATAGGAATTCTAGGGTTTACAGAACTAGTATTCAAAAAAAATATAATAGAATTCAAATGAGTTTGAAAGGGAGAGGCCAAGGGGTGGACCTGGGGACCTCGACCTTGTCCTTGATGCGCTCGATCTTCTTCTCCTTCTTCGGCCTCGAGTTGCCATACGATCCTTTGAATCTCTTCCCTTTCTTCGTCCTCTTGTCGCCTCGTCCGCACAGGATCGGTACTGCCAACGCCGACGACAACGACGAAAAGGTTGCCGTACGATCCATCGTTATCGCTCTCCTCGCTACTGCTCCACACAACTGCATCATCATCGCCGTTTCTTAGCAAACTTCAAGAAGAAGATGAAGGACCGACTAAACTCTCCCCACTGTATCTTTTATTTTAGGTTTTGGTTTTTCACATGTGGGTGGCTGGAAGTTGTTATGTAGTTTTTAACTAATTTAATAGGTTAAAAGTTTTGGGTTTAGAAAGATAGTTAATTTTTTTTTTTTTAATTGAATATGATATTTATGAGAGAAAAAATGAAATGATTATGAATTTGATGTGATATTTTCTTTTATTAACTATTTATTTTAGTTTATTTTGTCTTGTTGTGAATTTTAGTAAAAAAAGTTAAAAAATTGCAATTCATCGGTTTTGAGAGAATTGGCAAATTGAATAATATTATAATCAATTATCAAGTCTTTACATAATATATAATATTAATTTGTATAATATTATATATATATATATATAACACAAACTAATTTTACATAATATTTTATATATATATAACTTGTAATAAATTTCATATGTTAAATTTCTCTCATACTTATTTTTGTTTTGATATTTCATTACAAGTTAAAAATTATATATGTATTAATTATAGTGGAATGGAACAACTATAAATTTTAAAGTTTAAACCACAATTAGCGGATAGAGCGGTGCGAATTGATGCGGATCAATGTAATTTTAACAAATTGGACGATATTTTGCATAATCCTAATTATGAACCTCCCATTTTGAGTTTTATTTGAACATACCACCTTATTCTTTTCTTAATTTGCATTCAAGTCCACTGACAAAGTTCTCTCCTTTAAAAATAATAATCAGTGAGCATGTTAGAGGAGGCAGATCAATTTTATTCTTACTCTCTTCGTACCTTCACGACATGTTCATAATTCACAAAATCAAAGGTTTCAAGCTCACCTCTTACATAGCTCAGAGCTCAAAATTGGAGCTAAGGCCTTATTTGGAATGAATAGTTTTTAGTTAAAAGATCAGTATAAATTCTTAAATCATTCTCATTATTTTTTATGCTTCCTTTTTTTTTTTTTTTTTTTTTTTAAAATTTTTAAAAAATTACTTAAAAAAAAAACAATTTTCAAACGAACCTGACACTCACTTAGTGGCAACCCTTCTCAATTTGGGTTAGACCATAATGGTGCAACTTAGGCATTACTCAACATGCAAAGACTTGTAGAAGTACCGAAACAACCAAGTTGTCCTCCCACTTTCCAGAAGTTTGCTTTTTCTTTTTTTCCTTTTTAAAGAAAAAATAGTGAGGCACTTGTTGAGTTGTCTGAGATTTTCTTTGATGACAAATCAGAAATGTCAAGCAGCTTCTACTCTCGCTAATTAGATACTGAAATTTATCAATAGGTAAAAGGGGGAAGATAAAAGAAAAATGAACTCACCATACCTATGAAGTAGCTAAGAGATGCCCACATTCCCCAAATGAAAAACACTAGAAACGATAATCATGGAGAGAGAGATCTCAGTAATGTCTATTTAAGATGCACATTTTGGTAACAGCAATGCATAACGTTAGGGCAGAGCATTAGGCACAAACCTGTGAAAAACTGGTAGTATCGGCCAATTGCAAGCCCATTATAAACAAAATGTATAACTTAAAACTTCTTTTCTCCAAGTTGAAACAAGAACCCACTGTTCCATTTTTTGATAGTACAACATCTCAGCTCAATATGATCCTTGTAATCCCTTGTTTCCTTAAAACAAGCCCCAGCAACAAACAACATAATTTAGAGGCAAGTCATTCCAATCAACCCTTCAGCGAGTACTTCTTCCCCGTAAAAGGCTGGAACTTAGGTTCATCTTTCTGTCGATAGGCATCCTGCTTGTTTAGTTCTTTTGTAGGTGTCAACTGCTGAATTATCGATAACCTCATAGGTTGAGATACATTAACATCAGCAGCAATACTACAATACCCAGAAAAAAAAAGACCCAGAAAAGTACCTAGAATTTAAAATCTACGACGGAGATTCATTCAAGATTTGGGTGTGGCCCACAACAAGAACTTTAAATGTACACCTCAGATTTCAAATTCTGAGTAAGTTTCTGGTAATTTTTTTGGGTGCAGTTGACTTTTCCTAAAATCAGCTTAACCAAAAGCAGTTTATTTAGATGAAATAGGTGTACCTTTTGGGGCTCTTTGGTGCGGTTTACATTTGAGCCAAACACGAGCTTCCCTTGAGTCTGACAAGTGGTACCTGTTGGAAATGGTAAAAAAAATTCCGGGTAAAATCAGAATTTTTTCTCAAGTTTGATCTATTTTTTAGGTGGGCCCCGAGTGTCGATTTACTCGGGTCAAAGTGGTAACGCGTTCTATGCCGTGTTGTGATTCACGTGGTATATTTGGTTGCGGTTTATAACAGAATTTTTTCCTAAGTTTGGTTTATTTTTTAGGTGGCCCCGAGCGTTGATTTTTGCGGGTCAAAGTGGTAACGCGTTCTATGCCGCGTTGTGATTCACGTGGTATATTTGGTTGCTCAAAACCATTACCGAGTGAATGAGAAATTGAAGCCAAAGTGTACTCTATGGAAATGGAGTTTTGGTGAAAAATCCTTAAAGGTATTGAATAAGGCTTGTCCCATATTAATTTGGTGGGAAGTTTTGAATGGGTTTATAAGGCATGGGTTTAGTACTTGGGGTGTGTCCCAAGGGGTACCCAAGTGTTTTAGAGAGGGAGGTTATGGGCAAAATGTGTTAGACCCATTGGACCCAAAAATCACCATACGCGCACGCCGCCGCCGCCGCAGTCCGTCCAGTCGGGTGGGCTGGGCTTGGGTGCGTGGTGTGAGGTTGGGTTTTGAATTTAATTTAATTTTTGGTAAAATAAAATCCAGAATTCAAAATTAAACCGGAAATAATCTGGTCCGATTTTTCTGTACACCCAAACAAGGCCCTTCCCATTTTTATCTGTTTGAATTTTGAACCAACAGATTTAAATCTGTTTAATTCAAAACCAAACAGGTTTGAACCTATTCAATTCAAAACCTGCAGTCACCTTTACATCTATAAATAGGACAACCCTCATTTGATGTAAAATATATAATTTTCGTCCTTAAGAGCTCTGCAAATTTATTATTCATTTTGTTGCATTATTTTCTTGTAAGAAAGAGTATAAACACTTAGTGTGTTTGTTAGGCAAACAATTTGTAGTATTGCTATTGTTTGTAGTTGATCATTTCATCTTGGGAGATAGATGTCCACATTCTGAAAGCACCGTGAAGAGGACGAATCTGTCTTAAGGACACAGTGTCAAACACTGGACTTGATCATATATTTATTAGAAGAAATTAATCAAGTAAGTTGTTTAATTTATTATTCTATTTTATTTGTTTATTAAATCAGATTTTAATTTTATTTTTGTAACAAAATAAAATCTGTTTTTATTTATTTATTTATTTCTAGTTTGATTTTTGTAATCAAACAAATTCTCTCATTCCTTTTATTTCTTTATATTCTTGTTGTTGTTTAGTACACAACAAAATTTAATGTTTTTAAATACAGTGAAGATTGTCTAACATTAACTTGTGTTAACTTATTTGTTATCTGCAGCGAACGTTTTAGCCAGCGAAGGAGAGTGTTTTTTTGGCCTTACCGGTTGATCGGTCAACGACAATTTTTTTTTAACTTGTTGGGATTTTTTTTTGACTTGAAATTTAATTTTGGGCTTGAAATTTTTTATTAAACTAAGTTATTTATTTATTTTATTTATTATACACACACACATATATATATATATATATGTATATATATATATATATTTAACACATCCCTTAACACATCCATTGTACCACCATTAATTCACTATTCACTCACTAAATTAACAAACTCTTAACATGTATTTTTGAGTCTCACTTTTAACACTTTTTATCATAAAATACACATTTTAACACCTCCATTGTGATGCCCTAATATTGAAAATCAATACTGTTGGATTTGCAGTTCCTTCCCTCAACTGCTCCGCTTTTGGAGTGGAAAATGACAATTCAAAGTGATAATGGTATAATAGTACTAACCATTTATATTATTGTTGGGTATACCTCCTTATTGGAGTGTGGGACCCAATTGGTTTGTTAAAGAGTTTCAATTTGACTTGGTTTAGGTATAATATATTTTTTATATATTATATTTGTGGAGATCTAATTCAATTTAGATACAATTAGGGTTTGATTCCAAAACCCAAGATTTAATAATATATATATCCAATATATATATTATTTTGTTTTTAACACACAAAAGTGAACGGCGGCTGCTACCTGAAATATATTGCCTCGGTAATAGTGCCTGGGAATTTGACAATTGGGAAAGACAAATCAAGAGTGCTTGATTTGTTCAAGCTTTGGTTTTCTTTGTGTGGAAGTTGATTTGGTTCGTTATTTTGGGTCTTCTTCAACTCTGGTTCAGAAGATTTTGGTTCATCTATTTGGTGAGGTCTTTCCTCTTTGTTTATTTGTGATTATTTGGAATTCACCTAAGGGTGATTTTGTGAGACCATTAGTGTCTCGTTTGTAATCGTTTGGAACTTATTTGGTTGATAGTGGAATCGGATTTCGATCCCGTGGACGTACCTCACATTGAGGGAACCACGTAAAAATTCTTGTGTTGCCTTTGATTTTAATCTTTCCGCCATTAGTTTTTATTCCCATTGATTGATTTACTTGTGGGGAATCACATCGAATTTCGCCTACAACTGGTATAGGAGCCTTTACGGTTTATTTGCGATTTATTTATTGTGTAAATCAATGGAGGGGAATGTGGGTCGCATGTCTTAACCTTGCAATGAAGTAAATGGCATAACTTGCGGAAACTAAATTGGAGCCGACCTATTATTTTTGCTAAAGGATCTATAATGGACCCATTGAGGGTGATAGATGGCGCAAACCGCGCATGGGTTTGTTGTGTATGAAAGATGATGAATGCGAATAGGCTTAATCGCAAAATGCCGTTGG